AAAAAAGTTTGATAAAAATCAGGTTTTTCCAGTGGGTTATAACTCAGGGAAGGAAATGGCTCCAATAGTTGAATGTGGCCCAGTTAGTAAGATTCTCAAACCTAATGAAGTTTTCTGCTAGTTCCAGAAAACTTTTTAGATGATCTTCATGATTAATTCATTGAGAAACAAAAAAGTGATGCCTGAATTGAGATGCTGGGAAAAAGAATAGACTGGAAAAGAAGACAGCCAAACTAAACCAGTAACTCAGGAAGGGAACAGCTGACTGTCAGGGAATTTCCATGCCTGTCACCCAGCTGCCTCCTCACTCCCACACAGCAGAAACCATCTCCCCTAAGCCTCCCCATCCAGGAGCCCCTACCTTTCAGGCCACTGTGGTAGCAGGCATGCACCTGCTGCATCCCACTAAGGGAAAGCCACTCTCCACGTACCCCTTGAAGCAGTTACTGGAAGAAGAATGCATGCCAGCAACCTCAACTAAAGAAAAGTGTACTGCTGACAAGGAAAGGAGAAAATAAACCTGTCTTAGCAAGCCACAGTCAGTAGCCATTCATTTCACTCAAGTTACCACAAGTACAACGATGGGGCTCTAAGTTACTTTTTAAAATAGCGTTTCTTCTTTCACTAGGTATTTGGGAAGACACGGGAGTGAAGGGGCCTCCCTAACTTCACTTCCTGCTGGTCTCCAATGGTTTGATAAAGCTGCAGTGATTGTTAGAAATCAATCATACCCTAGGATCCTTCATAGGACAACAATGAATGGTGTGGATATTGGGACTTTTTATTTTAAAAATATCTTTCAGAGAGGGGAAATTCTTATACCTTCTCTTCCCACAAAGAAGAAAAAAGAGTGGCATATTGGATTTTCTAATTTAGCTAACCAGTGAGTAGATGCTCACTGGCAATTTATCTGGGAACACAAAGCATTCAGCAAATGACGGTGCCTTCTACCAGCAGACACATCCTCAATGAAAAAAGGCAGGTCCATCAATCCATCCTTTTCAAGTTCAATCAAATAACCTTAGCTTTAAAAGAGTTATAAGTATGCCTTGGATTTATCCTTATGTTTAAATCAAATAATCTCCATTTAAAACATTAACAACAACGCAAGTCTGAGATACAGCTCTGACAATGTGATGGAGAATGAGCTACATAGTGAAGCAGGTGGCAAGCAATTCAAAAAGCTGGGCAGAATATTAGAGTATGCATATGCATTCAATTCAAATGTTCACACGTTTCTATTAACTTGCCAGGTATCCCTGGCAAACTAAAGTTGATAAACAACTAATCCCAGACATTTCGTAGCACTTAGAATTTGAGACACTAAAATATAAAGGTTCATAAGAAAATAGACTTTAAAAAAGAATGTCTTTGCTAATGTTATCAGCTATTAAGCAACATAATTATCCAGAAAAGTATCAAGTTCTTAAGTACAACTCAATTTAAACCTCCCATACTACCAATTCTCAAGTTTCTATCAACAGACCTCTTTTTTTGGACTAGCACTGATTTTTTTTTTTTTTTTACTGATTTAGCACTACCAAGAATATAGACTAAAACTCTTAATGTTTCTCTTTCCCCAAGGATGTTAAAAAATATAATAATAATCTGGTCCTCATTGCTGCATCCTACGTGTCTCACATCCATCTGGCTAAACTAAAACCTGACCCAGAGTGCTCTCAGTCCCTGAGTGCTATATAGCTCACTAAAAACAAAGATGGGGTGCCAGAAAGCTAAACAGCCCTAATGGCTAAGCTGTTGGAACCACTGCTGTCTCTTAAATGTTAAGCACAGCAGCTTCTCTTCCTAGACCCCAGCCTGCATTGCTGGCTGGGTGGCTCCCGAGGCCTGCCTATGACCCTAACTGCAGTGACTCAATATGTGCCCCTCAAAGCCTGTGTACTAGCTCACAAAGAATATGTGCAAGACATAAAAAGCCAATGATTGTGCATCTTGAAGAATGATCACCAACCAGGTGTGGTGACACATTCCTTTAATCCCAGCACTCAGAAGGCTGAGAGAGGAACACCGCTAATTCAAGGCCAGGCTAAGCTACACAATGAAACCCTACCTTAAAAATGAAAAGGGGGGAATGCCCATGCGGTTGGGGCAGGGATTACATGCAATGAAGAAAATGTGTTCCAATCAGTGGAAAAGCACAAGTATTAAATCTTGATGACAGTCTTGATTAGTAAAAAGCACAAACTTAAAAAAAAAAATTATAAGTAGCCAAGTTCAAGTACACGCCTTTAATCCCAGCATCTGGGAGGCAGAGGCAGGTGGACCTCTTTTGAGTTTGAGGCCAGACTAGTCTACAGAGCAATTCCAGGCCATGTAGGTCTACAGAAAATCAATAAAACAATAACAATAACAATAACAATAACGATGCCTCCCAAAATAACAATGCCCCCCGAACAATGACAATAATATTTAAGATTTTTTATAAAAAAAACCTCCAACTATCACTTACTCTTGCTTCATTCTGGTGAAGTTTTTCCTCCATACTTAAAGCTGTAGGGGAGTCCAAGAGGGCAATCTATAATTTAAATCATAAAGACATCAGTAATTAATAAACAGAAGTGATATACAGCAAAATGGTTTCCCCAAATTACCAAAAATTCCAAAAAAATCTACTAAATAGTAGCAAAAAGTAATTCCACACATAACACCCCAAATTATTAAACATCATTAAGTCTCTAATCCATGGAATACATACATAATGATTTCCAAACCCAGGGCATCATGGGTCCTAAACTGATATTTGCAATATAAATCAGCAAAGCAAAGGCTGTAACAGTGGCATTTCATGAAATCAAATACCATCCAAATTCCTATGGTTTTAAGGAACCGTTTGTATGGATGTGCACAAAGAACAAAATTCAAAAAGATGTTCGAGTCTTGCTCAGTAGGCTTTTGAGGTTTATCCACATTGAGATATGCAGATAAAATTATCTGTCTTCACTTGCTGATGGTATCCAGTATGTGGCCTGGCTATGCTACAACCTGCATTCATCTCCTTACCCATGCTGCAGAAAGGCAGAGATAGGAGTGAGAGAGATAAACACCAAAATCAGGTTAGAAGGGGAAGGATAAGTACACAGCCTGGGGCTTTGGTGGCTCTTCTAGTAACTGAGCCAGGAAGTCAGGTGCTCCTATTCTGTCTGCTTCTCTCACTGCCTGACATGTCACAGGATGCAAACAGAGAGTCTACTACCCACCCATACAATCACTCTTCCTTGATTTGGTGGAATCATGTATTTTGTTTTGAACAATTCCATTTCCATTGCTTGGTATTCATTCCAGTGTGTGGCACCATGCCATTTCTGATGCCGCTTTCCTAGTGATGTAAATATAGGCTTTTCTAATCATTTGCTTTACCAGCATCATTACAGTGACTATCCTCATACCAGCTGCCTCCAGTACACCTTGTCTTATCAACAGAATAAATTCCTGGGAGAGGAATTCATAAGCCATCTATGCAATTCTTTTGTAACTGACAAGTTGTGTTTCCTAGAGTAGCAGCATGGTTTGCCTATTTACCTCTCATTTTCTATTCAAACCACAGCAGCTACAGTTGAGATCTCCTTAGGCTTGGTAAACACTCAGTCTAACAAGATGACTGGGCCACGCTGGGCCTCTGCACTCAACAGAGGGCAGAGCCGCCAGTGAGGAAGCACAAGAGACCCATTCAGTTGTGAGAGCCTGCAGTCTCCACAGTGGTCCTCTAGCCGCCCACAAGTAGGGTAGAGATTCACATGGGTATGTGTGGCACAACAGAAAATGTCCAGTGACACACCAGGGGTACATCCTCCAAAGGCCTTGCAAGGGACTTTCCTAGTCACAGGAATTCCTGTCTCGAGGAACACAAAACTGTAGCTTCCAGGTTGCCATCTAAACACCTATAGTCCTTCCTAACCGGGATGAAAGTCACCAACTGGGGTTATTTTTATCATTATAGATGGTGTGCGATTACATAGCTGACATCCCACTTTTATACAAAGGTTAACCTAGGGAGAGGCCCATCAGTACATCATGTCACTGCACCTAGCATGCTGTCCTACATGCAGACAATAGGTACTTCACACATATTTTTCATTGAAGAAATGAAAGTGGCAGACGTTACTAAGACTGCATTGCTAATAAGGAGCTGACAATTCCTCAGTTAGTGAGCCCTACATAACATGGATAATTTTACAAAATTAATCATAGCTGAAGTACCCCTACATCCTCGTCAGTGTAGTAGATGATGGTCAAATGAATCACCCACACAAAATGCCATTACATCCAGCAGCTCTTTTGCAAAATTATTTTGAAGCCTATGTAAAGAAAGGCCTACTTAAGCCCTTGTAAAAGAAAGTACTGATAAAAGTAAGCCATTGTCAATTATTCCTTGCAAGGTGTCTGTTTAGAAGATAATGGTTCAGGATTAAATAGCACTGAGAGTAAGTTCACGTATTACTGAACCAAGAGTAACTCTGTCTCAAGTGCAGCAGTAATATCAATAACCAGCTCGTACCTCCCACTCTTGCGGAGATGCGGTATCATCAATGACATTTACTATATGGAGCATAGTTTGCACATGTTCAGGGAGCCATTTGAAACTTCCTATAAGTTGTACTCACATTCTTTCTTCACTTTCCTGTTGGGTTGTGATGTTTTTACTTATGCTCTTTTCAGTAGCCTGAGATGCAGCCTCCTTGCTGGTTTGTGCCATGTTGATCAGAGCCAACAGTCATGATGTTATGTGCACTTGCTATACCCTCTCTCGACTCTGTCTACCTGAGTTCTCACAGAATGAGCACTCTGTGCTACATGTGAGGCTCTGTCTTCTGCTAGTTACCAATTGTTTTGTTTTTTCCTTCATGAAAGCTGATGTCATATCTGATTTTAATTGAGAACTGTATTCTCCATCCTGACAAAGTGATCTTGTCTTGAGCTCAATAAATTGCTGTTTCTGTGCTGCCCTCTTTCTCTGTGGGCTAACTGATAGGACTGCCCATTCCCACAGACGTCATCTACCTGGGCTTTTCAGTGTCTCATGCATCCATCTTAAAAGTCTCCTCACAACTGCACTTCTGTCACTGAAAACTTACCATTAGCCCTGACTGTAAAAATAAGTTCGCACCACCTCCACCCTTTCTCCTCACTGTTTTCCTTGCTACCTAACTTTTTGTTTATTTCATTTCTATTTTGCTTAGTGTGCTTTTCTCCAGATATAGTCATGAAAGATGAGGGAATCAAGACATTCTCTCTCTCCCAAATTAAAAGTCAAAATACCTAAAAATATGTCCAAAGGCAATAAAATAAAGACTTGGTAAGAAAAGATAGCCAAATGCCAACTTCCCTAGTCATCTGAGAAGTGCAAGACAAATCACTCTGTAATACTGGCAGACTTGAATCCAAATGGTTACAGTGATAAATGGACAGCACCCAGGGTGGGCAGGGATCTGCATAGGCTAAACTGGCACTGTCATACACTGATAGAGAAACAAATCCTGATGTAAGTACTTTTAAATTAAAATTGTTTGGCAGTATATACTGAAACTACAAATATGATTGGATACTTCCTTTTAGTCATAAACCTCTCAGAAACATCAATATCTTTGCCAAAATATCAGAAGTCAATGGACAGATAAACTAGGCACATCTGTATGATGGAATATAGGTTTCAAATGCAACCTATAAAAGTAAGTGGGTTCATATCTCCATGCAACATGGATGAACCTCACAAAGAGTGCAGAAACTAAAGACATCAGATCACAAGAATTCATACTTCAAGATTCCACTTAGGTAAAAAACAAAAGCAGGCAAAACCAAAAGCTCTGCCTCTTAAGTCAGAAGAGTGGTTCCCGCCTCTCTAAGTCCCTTGAGGAAATGAGAGAATGGTTCCTGGAAAGAGGCACTAAGGGCAGCTTCTGGGATGCTGGTAATGCTGTCTCTCAAGATGTGTGCAGGTTAGATGGGTGAACTGAGCATCTAAAATTCATGCACCTATACATGCATCATGAAGCTTTTCTGTACTTATATAATACTTCAGCAAAATTTCCTATGGAAACATAAACTATTATTTTTTTTCTATATAACAGAAGCAAATACACATCAGAATCTTCCTGTTTTATAATATTGTGTTTTTGAAAGTTTGACACATGATAGCTTCAATGACAATATACAAAATTACTAAAAATAAGAATTGGTTTTTATTTATCTTCGCTCAAATAAATAATCCTAAAAATACAAGTAAAATTTACATTCTCAATAAACTATGAGAGTATTCAGAGTAGAATATTCTAGGGATAAAGGAATGTCCGTTACTGGCTTATATATTTACTTTATAGTCAAGATCTTCAGGGGGCCCAAGATGTGGCCACTGCCAGAGCAATATTAAGCACTGCTTAATGTGAAGCTGTGTGTGTGTGTGTGTGTGTGTGTGTGTGTGTGTGTGTGTATAGGTAGGTAGGTATACTCATACATGCAGAGTTCAAAGGGCAACCTCTTGTTGGTCCCTGGGCACCTTCTACATCTGTTATTTGAGATGTGGTCTCTCATTAACCTGGAACTTCAACCTGTAGGTCAGGCTAGCTGGCCTGCAAGCTTCTAGGTATCTTCATGTCTCCAGCCCCCATCAATCTCACCATTGCTGGGATTACAGATGTATGTGTCATCACATCTTGCACTTTATGTGGATACTAGGGATCCATACTCAGGTCTCTATGCTTGTGAGGCAAACACCTTACTGACTGAGCCATCTTCCCAGTCCCTTATTCAGAGACTTTTAATAAGCATTTAGGAACACCTGTTTATTTCATTAAGCATCACAAATTTAATTAATTTAGGACATGTTTGTATTGTCTCATAGCAATTTATAGCTTCCAAGTATTATTTATTTTGAATTAGACTCCCATTTTCACTATAATATGGATGTTAAATTTATCAAAATACATTCCAAATAAACTTTCTATCCTCATTTCTAAAATAGTAAAACATTACTCCCTTAATTACATCAGGAATCTTAACTCATGAAAAAATAAGAAAAAAAAAAAGCAACACTTTGAAAACATTACTCAAAGTTTTTACAAAGTTTTCTGTCTGTATGATAAGGGTCCTTTCAGATGAGTTTGTTTGTTTCACTCTCTTAAAAAATAAAGTATAAGATGCTGCATCTAGCTATGCATGGTCACACATGCCTTAAATCCCATCTCTGTGAGGAGACCAGCCTGGTCTACAAATCTAGTTGCAGACCAGCTGTGGCTACAGGAAAACCCTGATTCAAAAAATAAATAAATAAAATAATAAAAATAAAAATAAAAGGACGGGCTGGGCGTGGTGGTGTACACCTTTAATCCAAGTACTCAGGAGGCAGAGGCAGGCAGATCTCTGTGAGTTCAAGGCCAGCATGGTCTACATAGTGAGTTCCAGGACAGCTGGGGCTACAGGGAGACCCTGTCTCAAAAAAACCAAAAAATAAAATAAAAGGAAGGAAGGTGCATCTAGAATTTTCCAAATGCTTTCCCTCACATAGTAATCATTTTTAAAGCTTACTTTAGATAAGTATTTTTAAAAACATGGACAAAGGATTCCAATAGCAGTGATAAAAATGAGCATCATAGTCTGCACTCCACTCTGTAAGTCATGATTTCACATTCAGCCAATAACGTCCTTTCACATCAGGAGTGCTTTATCACCAACTAAAGTGTGGGCAGAGATGTTTTTAAGCACAGTGGAGATTCCTGTTCGACTGCTGGCCTCCATCTTGTGGGAAAGGACTGCCAGGCTTACTCACTCTGAGGTTTTCATGCTGCCAATATTTTCATAGTTCAAAATATTTCCAGGTTGTCAAGACTCGTCAGTGCCACGCATTCCTACAGGGAAAGCACTGAGCACTTCACATTTACATAAGTCTTTTAATAATGGACTTAAGACATCCATCTGTTGGCTAAGAACACAGGATGAAATGTACCTTCGTTTTATTTCTAACTTCAGTAGTTTAAAAAGCTATCCCTGGATTCCTCTCAAGAGTGGCCTTCCTTCACAGCAGTACCTAAGCCTTCCAGAACAGAGCTCACACCAATCCTCACAGAACATAACTCTGCATATGCATGGCACAAACTGTGAGACGTTTAATGGGAGGAACAAAAGGACACACGCTTCTTCTCTGGAATTGAAAAGCTCCTGAAGCGAGGTCATTTCAACAACCATGCAAGGCCCCAGGGGACAGTACTCCAACCAGGCCCCAGGTATAATGTCACAGGTGTCACTGTGTCACCTGGCTAAAATGAGACAGAGACTCAGAAAGGTGTTCAAACAAGTCCTCACTCTGTTAAAATACATTTATAGTCATAAAATGCATGTGTAGAATTTTAAATATTACCCTAAGCATCTCAATTTCTTTCCACTAATGGAGATTATGTTGCTAATCCTATTGCATGCTAAATTGCCATCCATAATTGATAACTATTAGATGGTTAATCATTTCAGGTTTAGTGGATAAAAATCTTAAACCCAGAGTGCATAAGGAATGCAAAGGCAATAGGATGCTGATGTAGAGACTGGCTAACTCAGCTGAAGCTTTACTTAGTACTTATTTACTCAAATCAATACCGCAAGATAATTGCCTCATTAAGATCTAGAAATAGACGTCATTACTCAAAGAAAATTATCTATAAATCTCAGAAAAAACCCAACCTGATTCCCTTGAGCAAGCAGTGTTTTCAGCCTGGCTATTTCAGCTCGCAGCTCACGGATGAGTTTGACGTTGGCATCCTCATTAATGGTAGGCTTGTTGATGATGTTTTTGGCTCTATTTGCATAGCGAAGAGTACTTAGGGTTTCTCCATAATTGACATCAGCAGGTGAAATGGCTGTGAAAAATGAATTCAAAACATAATTTATAATTTATCTAGCACTCCATGTTTCATTTAACACAAAGCTGGTTTGTAATTTAAAAGTCAGATTAAACCCAGGTCATTGGATAGACTAAATATTCATTGCTACTGTAATGAATATTAAAAATTATCTAAGATTTATAGGAAAGGGTGTTCACTGCACCAAATTAAATGTCGTTTTGCTCTTCTCAAATCTAGACTCACCCACCTAAACTCTTTAGGATAAAATATGAGCTACCCCCCAAGTAAAGGGTGTGCTCAGCTGATAACATATGAGATTGAAAGACTGCGTATCTCTCTACATTTAGCAAGAATTAAAATACCTTTGCATTGTCTGGTAAAATCCACCATCTGTAAAAAATCCAGAGCACAGCAATTTTCCAAAAGTCAGAAGACTACTTAATTCCTTCCTTCTAGGAGCTCTGGTTAATTCTACACTGCACCCCACCACCATCTCCAAACTTCTAAAACTTAAGACTAGGGTGAATACACAGTGGTGTGCCCTTGACATCAAAAGTTAATTCAGGACAGGGGATACAAGGAGGGCAAAGCAGGAGAAGGGAAAAGAAGGAAGAAGGGGAAAAGAAATCAAAGGGAAGCAGGAAAGAGTTCCCGAGTTCCCTTCTCCACATCTCCTGTGCTACATACGCTTCTCAATTCTTCTGTCAGCTACCTAGTCAACTGGAGAAATAAAGTACATTGCTATTCTCAGAATGCTGAAATTCTTGATTTTTTTTCCTTTCAATTTATAATTTTAAATTCTGTACCTATTATTTTGAATAGAAAAGGCTGAGGTTCATTTTTGTTTTTGCTATCTATAAGAGTTGGTCTCCTATGAGCTGGTGAAAAGTTTCTGCATTGTACTTTAAGTCATCACAGCTTCTGTTACAAGGAAAGTCTACTGAACTGTTAGTAGGCTACTACAGACCAGTTATACTCTGTGATCTTCAAAACACTAACATTTTTTAATATGGAAGTGTGCGTGATCCTAGTGAAACACTTTCAACTTAAAATCTACACACTTAATGGGCTGGAGAGATGGCTCAGCGGTCAAGAGCGCTGACTGCTCTTGCAGAGGACCCAGGTTCGATTCCCAGCACCCACATGGTGGCTACGAACCGTCCTTAACTCCAGTTCCAGGGGACTCCAAACCCCTCTTCTGACCTCTGCAGCATTGCAAGACACGGGTGCATTCACATACATGCAGGCAATACACTCATACAGATAAAAAAATTAAAAATTAAAAAAAAAATCCATACACTTAATTCACAGGAAACACTGACGCCCAGAAATATAACTTAAGCTCTTACTGGCAATCATGATGGTCTTAGAGTTTCCGCCAAGGCTATCTTTCAACAGCCACGTCAAAACAGAATCCCTGTAAGGCACAAAAACTTGCTTCTTCTTCACAAGAGGATTGGCTGCATCCTGAGATAAATCAGCTGCAGGGAAGAAGGGAACAAGGAGAAAGATCATTACAGAAGTGTCTGTTTTCTCCAACCTTGACCATGTTGCCTCAGTCTGTAATAAAACATCCAGCATGCTTGCTCAATGGTAATAACAGTGCCGAGGAAGAAGAGAAGGAAGGAGTGACTGAAGCCTACCTAAGGCAGAAATGACATTTCCCAGAGTCACAAGGGACTTGTTTATATTGCCCCCTTCTTTCAGCCTGACCCCGGTGGCACCGGTGGCATCTGCACGCTCACTTCCAGCAAGATCGACCAGGTGGATCTTGCTCACAGTTTCACATGGCATTTCGGCATCAAATTTCGCCTGTGGAAGGACATAAAAGTAAAGCTGATGAGGTACCAAGGGCCTGATGTTGTTTATGACCTGAATCCCAATTACTTTACATTCCCCACTGACATCTCTCCAACTAGAGTTTTGTTCATTTTGCTACTCTGGCCTTCATAGTGATTATAAGAACTTCCAAAATTAAATTTGATACAGCAGATGTCTATCACATGAAACTCTTGCACTCTCTCAAGAACCTCTCCATTTCTCACCCCACTGTCATTCTGGACAGAGCCCTATTGGCTCAGAGTGTGGCAGAATATGAAACCAGGCCCTAAGAGGAACAAGTAATTAGCTTCATTCACTTCTGGAAGCGCCAACTTTCCAGCCCAAAAGTTCTTCAACACTTGACTAACAGGAAATTATGTAAAACATCATTTGATCCTATTTAGTGAAACATTATTCCACATTTTTAAATGTGAATATTAAGTATATTATCGTGCTTCTGAATCCTATCAGAACTTTATTTTATAAACTTCTAGCCTATGTTTTACATTTTGAGCCAAATGTAAAAAATATTAAAATGAATAGATTTTGATGGAATGTAAGCCTCTTAGAAACTCCAGTCAGTCACTTCCTAATATCATCCACCAGAAAGCCAATAAATTGATGTAATTCATAAAAGCAAGGCTCTAGCAAAAGATCAAGACAGAAGAATGCAGGAGATCTTCTACTTCACCTTGGAGTCTCTTCACTTTCCTGCTCGCTGGCCTTGTAACACTGCCTGGCCTTTTCTGGTGCGTTCAATGTCAGTGTGGACAGACACCCTCAATTCCTAACACTAGCTGAAGCCTTAAGAAGACTCTGCAGCTTTGTATTCATGCGGCATCCTGGCCTCAGTGGCAGACTACTCACCCCCAGCCACTCCCACCCACACTCACAATGCTGTCCCCCCACTTGATCATAATGAATTCTTACATTAGTACTTTAAGTGTTCGCTGTCCTTTAATATCACTGTAATCATAATCAACACGGCAGTGAGTCCGTGGAGCGATAATGTGCTGCACCAGTTACTCACCTTGGCTTCCAGCTGCTCTGGCTCACAATCCATTATCTCCCACAGAGCTTACAACAATGAAAACTTTTGCTTAATTAGACACAGAGCAAGTTTTTCTTATGTCTGAAACAAGGTGGAAGGCTGCTAAATATTTCTTGGGGGTACACATCAGGTCATCTAAAATTACAGTGACTGTAACCACCAAAAAACTCAGCACACAGCACATGTTCAATTCTAATTAACAAGGAAATGACAGTCACTTTGCTTACTGATACTCCTGGTTCAACAATGATCAGTGCTCAGCTGGTAGTAATCAGCAAGTAAAGACCTCGGGGATGGAGCCTCAACCCCACAGCTGCCCTTACCTGAGTGAAGTTGATGGTGAAGATGGCGTGAGACCTGCTACTGACATCATTCATCCCAGTTGCTGCAGTGGTACGATTGATATTTCCTGCGTCCATAAGCTCTTCTACATCACTGTAATTCTGTACTAAATGCTTGGATAGATCTGGACAGAAGAAAAAGAGAGGGTGAAGAAATCTCCCCATTAATGTAGGGACAGGAAAAAGAAACTTCCCTCTAAGGAGTAACACACGATGACACACCTGCAGAGGATCAGTTTAAAGATCCTGTTTCTACAGTGTGGCAGTCTATAATACAAACTCAGAGCTAAACAAGTTGGTAAGCTCACTGGCCTCAGCTAACTCATCTGGTAAGAAATCCTATTCACAGGGCACCTAGAATAAAAGTCAGCCATTAACATCAACCTCTTTGGCCACAGTGGTGGCACAGAGAAAGGTATGTGCAAGCACTACCCTCATGCAAATCCTCAAAATATTTTTTTAACTGCTTAAAAAATATTTACTAGCTGGGCGTGGTGGCACACGCCTGTAGTTCCAGCACTTGGGAGGCAGAGTCAGGAGGATCTCTGTGAGTTCAAGGCCAGCCTGGTCTACATAGTGAGCTCCAGGCCAGCTGGAGCTACAGGGAGACCGTTTCAAAAAGACTGAAAAAAAAAAAATTTACTGTTCTTTTTTTTTTTTTTTTTTTGAGGGGTAGTCATCAAATGGTTCCAAAGTTAAAAGTTAGAGTATGTAGGGCTCCCCTATAGTTAACTCTCTCCTTCCTCTTCTGTCAGTCAACCAAATGCCATCAATTTCTTCCTGTCCTTCCAGAAAAAATTCAAACATACTAAGGCAGTTATACATATATAAATCCACCTCTTCTCTCCCTTCATGAAAATGACAGAACGCTCGGCTAGGAGTGGAGCTCAGTGGTACAGCTTGAGGCCCTGTGCTCAATCCTCACACCGCACATGCGCGCGCGCGCGCGCGCACACACACACACACACACACACACACACAAAAATACTTTTTTAGAATAGTATATCATAAACATTGTTTTGCATCCTGCTTTTTATACATATCTAAGGATAGTCTGTAACTGTTGAGACTTGGTATTCATTTTTCAGACTGCAAAGAAATGACTGTATGTGTAGATTACAACCAATTTAACCAGTATCCGCTTGAGACTACAGAGGTTGTTTACACTTTATTTCCAATTACAAGTAACAACTGTTAAAATGTTTCGTACATAGGTCTTTTCAAATGTGTGGGAATGTTTCTGCAAAATAAATTCTTGGATGTAGAATTGCTAAATCAAAGGCTACTTGAAATGCTGATATACATTGCAAAACTGTCCTCCAGAGGGGCAAGTGATACGCAGCGGCGGCATGAACGAGGGCTTGTCAGACTCTATGCCAGCTACACAGAGGGAAGGTCTCATTTTGCTTTTCCCTCATGATCAGAGGGGGTGAGTACTCTCTCTTCCACTTAAAAATCATTAGTAGTTTGAGATGGTGGTATAGCTCAGTGGTAGAGCACCTGCCAAGCAGGCTCCAAGGAGACCTGTGTCTGATTCCTAATACCATGAGAAAAACAAAAATAGAGACTTCCTCTTTGGAGCTTAAGGCATAGCACACTGGTGGAGCACTTACCTTGTATGCAAATAGCCTGGGTTTAATCACAAGCACCACACAGACAAAAATAATCAGTATTTCTACTTCTGCGAACAGCTGATCCACATTATCTGTTCATGTTTCTACTGGTTGCTGGATCTGTCCTTATTAATTTATACGAACTTGTGGTAGTTTTAATGAGAAACGCCCCCCATACGCTCACATATTTGAACACTTGGCCCCAATTGCTGGTGGTGTTTGTGGGGGTGGGCTTTGAAAGGTCATAGCTTTGCCCCATTTCCTGCCAGTTGCACTCTCTCGCTCTCTCTCTCACTCTCTCTCTCTCCCCCCCTCCCTTTCTCTCCCCCTTGATGTGCCTACTTAAAGATGTGCGTACTCAGCTTCCTGTTCTAGCTGCCTCCTGTCATGCCTCTCCCGCCATTATGGACTCTCCCTCTGGAAGCCCAACCTCAAATAAACTCTTTCCTCTATAAATTGCCTTGGTTATAATGGCTTTAGCACAGCAACCCAAAAGTAACTAATACAGAGCTCTTTATATAAGAAGGAAATCAGCACTCTATCTGAAATATTTTCCCATTTTGTAATTAAGCTTTTTTACTTTACTTTCAGTGTCTCCTTTAAGTATGAAGCTTTATTTTTCACCATTCAAATTTAGTATATTTTCTTTTATGGTTTCTGCATTTTTAAGTCAAATTTTTAAAAACCCTTCTTTCAAATTTCAGAAATGAAATTAGCCCACAGTGTCTTCTGGTCATGTTATTATTTCATATTCACGTATAAATCTTTGACTCGTTGACCAATTATTTTGCACAGAAATTTGAGCAATGACAATTTGCATTTCCCTTCCATTTAGCTTAAGAATCCATACTCCCCAAAGTCTGAATAATACACTATTTAAAATTTTATAAAGATCATAAGTATTGAGGTCAACAGATACTGATGCTTTACCCTGTTTAATTACTGTGTCTCTTCATATATCAGTTTTTACATGTTTTCACATCCGCTATAGTAATTAAAGGAAAAATATAAAGGCACATGTTACACTGGAAACTATTAAAAATAATAGGTATTCCACCCCACTCTCTCCCATCCCTGTACACATTAACTGCACAGCTGTGCAACTTTCTCTGGGGAAATAAGGTAAAAATGCAATGGAAACTTAAGAAAATATAGATGTGATCCTGTTGGTACAGAGATGACCTCAAGATTTTAAAAGGCAGCCAAAGGAGGTACATCTTCAAACCCATGGCCTTTCCATTTTTGTCACCAAGGAAACACTTCACACTCAATGCTGTGTGAAAGCATGCTTCCATGAGCAAGTCCTACAGGCCAGCTGTTACTCAGCCCGCTAGGCAGAGCAAGATCAGCACAAGCATGGCCAGAAACCTAATGCATTAGATACTTTTCTGTCTGCTGTGATAAAAATACCTGGCAAAGTAACTTAAAGCAGAGGAGGGGGTTATTCTGGCTCACAGTTCCAGAGGCTACAGTCAGTCATGACAGGGGAGATAGCAGGGGCAGGAAAAAACTGGTCTCATTGTGTCCTCCTCAGTCAGGAGGCAGAGAGCAATGAAGGCCTGTGTTCAGCTCACTTTCTCCTTTTTATTCAGTCTGGACCCACAGTCCATGAAATGAGGTCACCCACATTCAGAGAGAAGTCTTCCCACCTCAATGACTGTAATCCTTAGATAATTCCTTGTAGACATGACCAGAGATTTGTTTCCATGGTGATTCAAAATCCCATAGAGCCGACAATCAAGATTACACATCATACTCAGTCAGCTTTAAATATCTGGCAAGGGCCAGTTCTCTACCCCATAGTACATGTGACATTCTCCATGACTAACCCTGCTCAGTTAGTATGGAGGGAAGGTCATTAGTAAGACACCAAAGGGAACTTTCATAATCATGGCCTAGGAATCTCAAACTGCTAGGGCCAGAATGCTGTAACTTAACACCACAAAGCTACAGTTCAGAACCCTGTGCCCAGGACTGTCCTTACTCAAATGACCCAGATTTGCATGGCTCCTAATTGCATGGCCCAGAGTGCAGAACTGAGCACAGAGGCTCATGCTAACCTCTCAGGGCTGTACATAAGCTGATCTGGACTGTACTCATTCACATGGTATAGTACATGCCAAGAAACTGCATGTTTCCTAATCTTAAATGTACTCCTAAATGAGTACACAGCCTATTGCTATGGTACTCAAGCTACTATCCAGCCTACTGGCTGTCGTACTGTACTCAATAAACTATTTTTACTATCCTGGTGTTAAATGGTGAATTCATTCACTGTCTGCGAGTCCCTTCCCTGTCACTGTACTGGTAGACACCTAGTCCACTATAGTTAGTGCATCACAACACAGATGCTGAGAACCAAGCAGGAAATTCTGTCAGAGCTCTTCCTCACAGACAAGAGTCACCTGTTATCACTAGGGTTAGTGAAAGTATGCTAGTAAAATATTGCACCACTGAGAGAGACAAGTTTGGGGGAAAATGCTTATAATGCTGAAGAATATTAGAAAACAAATTTCCTGAAAGGTTTTTAAAGCCAGAAGAAACTAGTGGCAGGTCTCACAAAAATCAGTGAACGATGGGGCTAGATAGATGGCTCAGCAGTTAAGAGCACTTACTGCTCTTCCAGAGGACGCAGGATTGGTTCTCAGCACCCACATGGCAGCTAATGAACACCCATTCTTAACTCCAGTTCTAGGACATCTGACACCTTCACCTGGCCTCCTCAGGTACCAGGCACACACATGGTATACTTATATAAAAGCAGGCAAAACACTCATACATCTAAAAACAAAAATAAAATCTTAAAAAAGTTAATTTATTTAGCTTTATTTTGTGTATGAGTATTTCACCTCTATGAATGTAAGAGTACCTGTGTCATGTAATGCCCACAGAGTCCAGAAGAGGATGTCAAGTGGTTAAGAGCACTGGCTGCTCTTGCAGAGGACCCAGGTTTGGTTTCCAGTACCCACATGGCAGCTACTAACAGTCCATGGCTCTAGTTCAGAGGATCTGACACCCTCTTCTGACCTCTGTGGGTATTGTACAACAAGGGTGCACTTATATACACACAGGCATATACTCATACACATAAAATAAAATAAAAATAATAAATATTTTTAAAAATCAGCGAACATCACCTGGTGAAGCATGGAATTACAAAATGAACAGTGGGCAGCGACAGCTCCTACATTTTTACTGTAATAAAATTCCAAAAGAAAAGGGAGAACAGGGCTATGGAACTTCGTTCTTACCCTCAACGTAAGGTCCTTCTTTTGGGTGTTCACGGACTCTTAAATTGAAGGTTTTAGATGACTTTCGCCTAAGTAGGTCTCTCACACGCTCGTTATAAATTTCTAAGTAGCTACAAATTTTAAACAGAATGAAATTTAGAAAAGCATTGAATCATTAACAATAACCACCACAGCATCTGTAAAAACAACAGCCATACACATCTCTGCTGCACACTTTACATAGGTTATCTCATCAAATCCTTGCAACGGCTCCAGAGGTGGGTAATTCTATTATCCCCATTTTACAGCTTAGGCAAGGGAGGTCTAATGTGCTTGAAATAACTTGTCCAAAGTCACAGTCACCAGAGGGACAGTGGCTGTGAGCAGTAGAATCAACACAGCTCTGATGAAGACCCCTGGAGAGGCAAAATCAATACAGGCTCAGCTTCAAAAAGGAGAAGGTGCTTTGTGTACCCAGACTGATATGTCGGTCAGATTTAAAGTCATCCTATCACAATGAGCAAGCACAAACGTTATTCAGTGAAAAGAACGAGACTCCATTTGAAATAAAAACTGAATACTAAAGTTTCCCTCCAGGCTATCATATATCTTATCCAAATTGTACCCAAGCATTCTAAGCTTTATTCCCAACTAATATAAGCACAGGCCAGGAAAGGCAGACTCATTCCTCAAAAATCTATGGGTTTCCTGGGGACCTCTATGCAAACCCAAGCAGCCTGAACACCCTCTGAGCTCTATCACTCAGGTCATGGCCCTACCTGACTTCTGTCCGGAAAGACGCTTCATCCCATCTCGTGGTTTCATTTATCCGGCTGAAAAGTGCTTCACAGATCCGAGGTATTAAGCCCAAATCACCCTGCCACAGGAAAGAAAGATGCCACAGCTGTCATTCAAACTAGAATCAAATGGTGACTGAGGTTACATTTTGTTAGAATGGAGTTAAGCTCAAGGGGCTTCCAAAACAGCCCTAGTCCTCCCACCAATGGCCTGGGACACCCTATTTGTCCCCCTGGGGCTGCTTCCTAGTCTCTGAAATGCAAAGATAAAAGTCTTCTAATTTCTACATGCTAGGATTTAGATAATGTATGCTCATCAGTTGTTAACCAGTCAAACAATGGCTTGCAAGGATAAGGAGACTTATTCTCTACCACAGAAAAGAGTTTAGAGCTACAGGATAAATGTTTACAATACCTGCTAAATGACAAAGCAGAAAAAATGAACAGCAGGAAGAGAACACACACTGCAAAGACCCAAGGTCTTAGGTGGCACACTAAACTTTGGAACACACCCCTCCTTTGCTGTAGAAATTCCTGCACAGATTCTCTTACAAAGGATTTGAATCCACCATATCATTATGCCATGTGCATGTAACAGTCACTAATCTGCTTCAGTTGGCATGAAGCATCCTGGGAATGTGGGAGTAACACTCATATCATTATGCCATGTGCATGTAACAGTCACTAATCTGCTTCAGTTGGCATTTTGCACCATGCAAAATGCTCTCTGTAGGAAACCAGACCTCAGAGCACAAGTGTCCTTGGCAAGTCCCTTCCTACCTCTACTCAGCTCCCACCCGAAGAACGCCAGAAGTATCCTCATTGTTTTCAGGAATATTTTTTTCCGTTTGTATCATTTGATCAGTGCAAATTGTTATCAAGGAAAACTGAGCCTTCTGCCATATTTTTTGTTCTTTAAAATAAATAAGAGTACCAAAGCCATACTTACCTATGAGATCAGAGAAAACCACATGTCATTTGGAAGAGTTTCACTGAATGACTTACATATATAGCAGCTGACATGTAAATTTCAATTTTAGAGTTTTTTTTAAGGTTCAGTAGGAAAGCAAGAAGAGAGAAGTAGTGATAAAGTTAAAGGTGCAGTGCTGAGGAGCTCTGTTCTCCCCTCTCTCTTGTTTCTCCCAACCTTCCAGCACTGTGCTGCACAGATTAGCTCATTCTAATGTACTTCTGGTATAAAAGTAAAGTCTGGGTTGAGAAGCAGGTTCTAGGCACTGAAATAACGTCCCTATAAAGACCTGTTCTCCTACTTCAGTGGATACCAAGCACCGTGCACTTGAAGATGCCACCGTGCATGCTGGCAGGGAGCTCTGCAGCTGCTCACAGCCTCTCCACAGTCAGAACATGCATGCCACGGGTTTGGCAGTCATTGAACAGCATTTTACTGCAACGTGAGACAGAAGGAATATGCAAGCACTACCTATGTCCTGACCCTTCCCTTTTTTGCTTTCTCTTTCTTTCCTTGCTTTGGATGTGTGTGCGTGCATGCATGCGTGCGTGTGTGCGTGCGTGCGTACTGTTGCTGGAGATACAACCAGGGCTTGAGCATGCTGTGTAGGCATTCCCTCGCTAAGCTACATTCCCAACGCCAACATTATTTTTTTGAGACAAGGTTTCCCTAAGGTCCTCAGGCTGGCCTGAAACTTGTAATCCTCCTGTATCAGCCTCCTGACTAGGATCACAAGTGTGTGCCACCATGCCCAACTTTAATATCAACATTTCACCCTTTCATATTTTGGGGCAAATATATTATGGATTCCTGTTAATGTATATAGATTAATTACTAAACAATACATGCTGTGTTTATAACCATTTACACTGTATAAGGGCTGTGTAACTCCAAGTTCTTAATGTATTTTACTGGATTTATGTAACACCTTTCCATCAGAAAGTTAGATTTTTCTTTTTACACTTTTCTTAGGAAAAAAATGTTCTGAATAATTTTAAAGAACAGACTTTGGTAATTTTATTCAAACTGTTACGTTGGCAGAAAAGAAGAATAAATTACTTGTGGGCCCAGTACACTTTCTTGATAAGATTATAAGGTCTTTAAAGGCAGAAAATGAACTGGGACTTGCATCCATTATTCATGCTTATAAACTTAAAACTATTTCTAATTTAAAATCTCTCAAAGGAAATTTAGTTCAACTTATTACTAAGCTTTATCTTATTACCAAAGAATGATCAGAACATGAAAAGCAAGTTCGTGCAGACCAAGTAGATAAGAGATCATTCTATCAGTCTAGAGAAAGATAATAAGAAATTTCCTTCCCATGCAATATAAACAACGTACAGAATTTCCCATCATAGTGTATGACTTTCCGGATCCAGTTTGCCCATATGCAAAGACACAAGCATTATAACCTTCAAATGCAGATTTCACGACATCTGTGCCCAGGGTTTTGAAGACCTGAAAGAAAAAATAAATAAATAAACACACACAAAGGAAATAGTTATCATGGATTTTAATAAAAAGCCCCTGCAGTGTTGACAATATTCTTGAATGCTACTTTCATCTTCAGGGATTACAGCATAAAAATAAATCACTGCAGAGCTTTTAACAAAAGAATATATATGCACCCCAATTTTTAATCAAAAGTAAAGTTTCCCAACAAGCAAAAAGCTGCCCCATTCTCTTTTCTACCTAAGTTATAAACAGCTCCTGCAATATAAAAATGTAAACAAGGCAAAGTGGCAATCGTGTCTGGAAGCAAAGAAGATTGTAAAGCATGATGATTCATAACTACATGATATATAGAGCTATTCATTCCATAGGAGCTTCTAAAAATTAATATTCAAAACCTAAACATCATAGTAACCAGAAACTATTGCCTGAACCATGACAAACTAAAGCCTCCATTACTCAGGTCTACAATTCCTCAATTTAAGTCTCTGAGGGTCTCATGCAGATGAGGTGGAGGGGCTGGGCAACCTTACAACAGGGTCCAGATGCATTTACCTATTTGGATACTTGTCCAGACACTTGTACAGAAAGTGGGAAGATAAGTTGTAAGAAGTGAGTCACATCTCCAGCAGCCTGAGTTTCTGTTCTATGTATTACATAACTGCCATTTGAGGAGTGAAAGGATGAGGCACAAATGCTCCAGGAGGACAACTGATATAAATGAGACAAACGAAGATGTGAGGTCACCCTAATTATACCAAGCTGGGAAAGAATGAACCAAAAATCTGCTGATGGGTTCTTCATGTCCTCTAAGCCCAGCACACCAAGGGCACATCAAACATCTCTGTGCTTCAATAAGAGCAGCAGCATCTAGTTCACAGCCAAGGTGGGAGTTCCTACAGTGCTGATGCCCTCTGAGCCAAAATCAGGAGACTCAGAAAACCAACTCTACCAAACTACCGAGGACAAGAGATCCTATGCTACGCTGCCCATGAGAGCACCTCATGAGCTCTCCAGAATCCCACTGGCCAGTAATAGCCCAGTCATAGCCCAGTGAAATATGAATCTATGTGAGCCCAGGAGTCAGTACATTGCAAATTCTCCCAAGTGATTGCAATATAGATACACCTAACCATAAGAAAAGTCTGCTGACAACACAGCTGGCATCCAAGAGTAAAACAAAAGTCCAGACAAATGGACCTGGGCTTTCTTCCTCCATCCTGTTTGCACTGTTTCCTCAGGTTCATCAGTAAAAACTACCATTTCAACTGAACCACTTCTGCAAATAACCAAGCTCATGTATTCTGGGTTAATTTATACCCATTTCAGCTTTACACACATTTTTTTATCTTAATTATCAAATTCTGATGACTTAATGCCCAACTATGACAGCAGTCACACTTACTGGGTACTTCTACAGGTTCATATATTCATTCAAAGGGGAGAAGCCTACTAGGCCTCAGATGAGGAAACAGAGAAGTTCGGGACCTGAGCTGCTGCCAGTGAATGGCAGAGTGAGGATTTTGCCTTCATTATCTTCCTTCTATCCACACCCTCTAACTTAACAAAGTCCTAATGCTAACTGGAAGGACCCCTCCCCAAAGTTCTATGAAGCAAAAGCTGGAATCCCAGGGCCTTAACGATCCAGACCAGCAGCTCCAATGAAACTCAGGGACCCAGACCACTAGTTTGAATTTATTTTTACCACTGCAAATGGAATATAAGTAAAAAAAAATCCAAATATTCCTCCAGTTCTCTCAGATTAAACCAAAAGCAAAAGACCCTCCACAAACTTTTAAGAGAATAAACAAAGACACAGTTCTCCTAGTTTGACCTGGTATAAAATAAAAATCACAGAAAATGCTATTCAAACCAAATTCAAAGGACTCCACAATAAAAATTCTGCCTAGGACTCCGATAACACAGCAGTCAGTAGCAGGGATATCAGAGTATAAGGGCTCTAGTCGGGGGAGGGAGGCTATGGGAGGGTGCTATCTGGGAAGTGGATGTAAAATAAATAAATTAATTAATTAATTAAATAAATTTTTAAAGAATTCTGCCTAGGGTAAATCCACACTTCTTATTTTATTACCTTGTGAGAAAGCAGAACACTCACCTGGATACTTTTCTGACACTTAGGAGCCACAGATTCTTGGCACTGATGGCCACAACGGTAGAACACGTCTAGAAAAGGTAAGTAAGGAGGTGACACCAGGCCTAGTTCAGGCTCAGCATCAGGTAACCCACACATAGACAGGTAGAGACACAGAAGCTGACACTGCCCTCATCTCCAGAGGTCTTCCAGTGAAACAAGCTGCCCTCTCGGGTTCCTACCACAGAACACTCCAGCATCTGCTACAGTACCAGGTAGGAAGGGGAGGCCAGATTTAAAAGACTGATGGCCTCATTAGCACCAAAATCCTGCCTAAATCCCTCACTGACCTGGTTACCCCCATCTGCTTTGCTATGTGTGGAGATACTTTAAAGTTGGTTTCAAGAGTGATGCAAGGCATCTCTAGGGCCTCTTGAAGAGGAATCGCCCACAAGAGGGCACTGCTGAAGCAAAGAAGCTGCCGCCTAGCTTGGCAACAGGGAAATTGCTAGTTTCAAATTTCTCCAGGATTGAATTAAGGAACAGGTTGTGTGAGATCAAAGCCTCCCTTTAGAGTTTTGAAGAACCATTAAGAAAATTAAGACCTTATTTAATGGTCTTTAATTTACAAGACTGTGGGTTTAAATTGCTCATTGATTTTTTTTTTTTTTTCCTAATTCTAAAATAATGGTTCTCTTACCTGGTATTTTTTTTTTTTTTTAACCTCAAAGGAAACTTAACTATAGTAACTGGCATATATTTTCTCTTCTCAATATAGTTTTATGTTGGCTGATTCAAACAGAAGAAATGAAGAGGGCGAGCTGGTATCGTGCTGGCTTGCATGGTTCCCTGTCTACAGATGGGGCAGTAGCTGTCTGCTCACTTCCCATGCATGAAACCACAGCCTGAAAAGTTCAGTCGCCATTCAAAACTAAGACTTTAATGAGAGGAGTTATTTTAAAGATAATTATTTTCCTGCATCTATATTGGCTTATTAGTATGCGATAAACAGCAGTGTGGACTGTGGACAAACATACCTGTTTTAGTCTCTCAGGTCACTCCCAGTAAAAGTCCCTGCAACAACTGGCAAGAGACGCTATGCATGCACTTAAGTGTAATATGTTCCTTGCCGGTGAAAAGCTTTTCACAATCTAGCATTTGTTTTCAACTTCCAAAAAAAGAGTTAAGCTTGTTCTAACATCCCTCACCTTCACTCTTGTGCAGCTCAAGAATGTCATCTACTCCCATAAATTAATCACCATCTGTACACGAGTTCATTTGGTCAGCAGACATTCCCCAGCCAGGTCCTGCAAGTCACACAACGCTTGACTTCATCGCTGGGCTTTCCTTCCACATAGCCCTCTGTCCTCAAAAGATCTCAAATTCAGGTGAAAGAAGTACAATTTAGCAGTTCACTGAATATGATAGAAATGAAGCTCTTCAAGGGTTTTCATTCAGCCAGGCTCTCTGTATTACGACCCTTAGCTATGGCTCCTGTTTTTATTAATAATTAGCTTACATGAACACAATGTCCAGTCAGACTCTGTCTTCCTGTCTTGTATGACTTTGACTTCTTCATCCTGAGTTGAAGACATTCTGGAGATTTCTACAATGAACTCGTTTTTCACTTAAAATTCCCTACTTTGGGCCACTTCATTCCCCTTCCTTGTACCAGGCCATCAATATGGGTTCCATGCCTGTAGTCATCTATGCCAGACTCCCCACTGCTGACATTCCAGTCACCTCCACCCCACAGTCCCTCCCTCACTCACTCATCTCTCATTTATTTGTGTGACAGGCTGCCCTCTCTATCCATGCACCAGCAGGAACCTAAATTCACCTCATCTGGTTCTTGTGATGATTAAACAGACAACATCAAGCAGTATCTGAGTCTAAAGCAAAGTCAAACATCAATTCCTCTTCCTCTTCCTGCTCCCCTATTAAAACAGCTACTGCCTCTCTTTGCAGAGTTTTCATTCCCTTTTCCAATGACTGATGCTTGAGGCCACATTTTTTTAGATACAATCACTCTAGTGTTTCAACTTCAACATCTGCACTGACTCAGAAAGCCAATCTCTTCACAAACTTCCTCTAAACCAACTATAGTCCTCATATATCAAAGCACATGCAAATCATTAGGGGTCTTGTCAACAATATTTTAAAAGATCGATGATTTTGAGTATGGTATGAAAGCTCATGTCCATAACTCCAACACTGAGTTTCAGAACAGCCTGGGCTACAGAGTACCATCCTGTATTTTAAAAAAGAAAAATCCTGAGACTCCACATTCTAACAAGTTCTCAGGCAATGCCACTGACTCTGATGCTGGGCGCACTAGTATTTCTTCATGCTCTAGTTCTCTAGAGTCCTTGCACGGATTCCAACCTTGAGCAAGCTGACAAGGAGCTCCTACATACGTTAACACATGAAGACCTGAAGCAAGATTTCTTACTAAGAAATCTAAGTGAGCTGTTGAAAAGCCAGGATGAGGCCAGTGATTATGCCGTGCACTTCCTCGGTGATGCAGCCATGCTCTCCCGCCTACATTAGTGCTCTCCCACTCTGCTCAATGACCTGCTTTTGCCCACCCAGGAGCATATACTTTCTTTCTGTTCACACCATCAGTGTCTCAATGGCTTCCTGGGAACACCTTGATCAATATGTCTAGATCACATTTGTTTCTTGGACAAATGCCAGCATCAGCCTAGGTTATAGAAAGATTCTAGATGAAACACTCTTTCTGGAATTCTTTCTAGAACTTATAGTGATCCACAAAAGCAAGAGAAATGTGGTTTGAGTTTGATACTTACCTCCTAAGCTCTGTATCACAGCGTGGCTCAAGACAAAGAGGCTTATTTCCCAGACTTGAGTATCTAGAACTCTCCCCTCCCCAGTGCTGCACTTGAAGAGCCCCTTCAAAACAGCAGTCATGCCCGTTTTAAAAACAAGTAATTTAAGATCATCATACTCAAAAGTGAAAAAAGATCAACATTTTGAGAACTGGATTTTCAGGCTTATATAAACACTCCTAACTTACAATTTAAAAGCTAAGTTACCAGAGGCTAATTTTATATAAATTATATTCAGGGGGAAAAAAAAAAAACCTAGTAAGCTCTTTTGAAGTGTTTTAAAGCAGGCATGCCTTTCTTGAATAAGGAAACAAAAAGATTTTGAGACATCAAACCATACCATTTCTTGTGAAACATAATCTGGACTCTTTGTATCAGCAGAATAAAAAGAGAAGTCATAGGTGAAGGTCTTGGTTCGTTCTCTGCCTGAGTCCCCAGTCCCTCCTTCTGGTATCTGAAAAAAAAGGATCCCAATGGTAATAATAAGAAAAAGGTAATGATGATAATCATATAGAGAGTCAAGTCATTTAACAAGGAACTTAATTTAGGAAAAAATCTCTGTACCTAAAAAATATTAAGATCATTACCATTAGCATTTAATTCCTATTGGCCTCCCTAAAAAATAAAAACAAATGAATATAACTTAAGTAATTCGGGCTCTCTGTATTATGATTCACAGCTACAACTCTTGTCTTTTTTATTATGATTATCTTCTATGAATATACTGTGCAATCAGGCTCTGTCCTCCTATCTGGCATGACTTTGACTGGTTCCTCTACGCGGTCCCACCAGAGCTGGGCTTTGTACAATTCCAGGGATGCTGGACACTGATTCTGATGGAACTGGTGCCCCCTGGAGTTGTGTGTTTTGGTGACCTCTCGAAAACTCCAGATCAGATGTCTCCTCTTCCATTTAGCCTCCCTGCATATCAAGGTATGAAGTATATCAACACTTCATCTTTTCTGAATGAAGTTCTCCTTTTCTGAATGAAATCTCTCCTAAGATACATCATACTGTGAGAGTATCATGATGTTTGCATAAATCTTATGTACCAGGCTACATATGCTTAAATTAAACCCTAAAACCATATGCCCAAAAGCCTTACACCTTGGACACATGCTTAAAGAGCTTCATCTTTCAATATATTTTACATATTAATTTTAAAAGTTGCTAGAACATCAGTAATGAAAATAATAGCATATTAAAACATAAAAAATCCAGACATCTTCCATAGGTGTGGCACAAATGTCATGGGGGTAACCAGCCACTTTCTGCTTGGATTTAAAACCTGTTTACAGGAGAAAAACACATATCTTGTACTATAAATCTGGCCAAGAAGTCATGGCTGGGGAGCTCACAGACCCCAGGTGTGAACCCACTATTATTATTCTATTAAATGGACAGAGTATCAAAGTGCCCTCTGTCCTGGTTTGTTTCTTCATTGCTGTGACAAAATACTCTGATCAATACCAACTTGGGGAGGAAAGGGTTTATTTGTCTTACATCTCCCAGATCACAGTTCATCAGGGAGCCCAAGGTAAGAACTCAGGGCAGGAACCTGGAGGCAGGAGCTGGAGCACAGGCCATGGAGGAATGCTGCTCACTGGCTTGCTCCCCTGGCCCCTGTTCAGCTTATCCAACACAGGGCCACCTGCCCACTGTGGGCTGGGCCCTCCCACATCACTCAACAATCAAGAAGATGCCCCACAGACATGGCCACAGGCCAGTCCAATGGAGGAAATTCCCCAATTGAGGCTCCCTCAACCCAGGTGTGTCAAGTTGACACTAAAGCTATCCAGCACACCCTCTAAATTCACATCTCTATACCCACAGATTAGTGCAGTACTCAGATCTCATCAGTGATATCAGAGATGTTTCTTTGTGCAGGGGATGGCAGTTACCGCAGAAACAATTGGTCAAAGTGCAGAGAAAAGTGTCTGTGAAGTGCTCAGCTACAAATGGGACATCTACATCATCTCCCTTTCCCCCAAGGCTTAGGGATCACTGCAAACGAGGAGGCCAAAAGATGGTAAGAGCTAGAGGCTGTGGAGGACCAGAAGGAATCGGTGTCTTCAGGGTATGACAGGACCACTGCACTCACAAACTCACAGTAGCCATGGTTGCCTGCACAAGATCAAGTCATTCAACATTCTAGCACAACAATCCCAACCCCTAGCTGCAGAGCTATTGACAGTTGCTGGCTTCTGGAGGAGAGTTAGTTTTCTTCAAGGGTGAGGCCCTGGCAGGTTGACCTCACTCCAGTGTATGGTCACACAACCATGAGTATATAGGCAGCACAAATGGACTCCATGGGTTCTTTATTTTTTTAAAGGAGAACACAAAGGGGACAAGACAGGGTGGGAGGTAGATCTAGGAGGAGTTAAGAGGAAGGGGGGATGAATGTGATCAAAATACACTGTATGCATATATGAAATCTCAAAGAATAAAAATATTACATTAAAAGAAAAAATAAATTTAAAAAGGAAAACATTATCTGCACAAATGTTCTAACTACTCAAGTCATCAAGAGGAGGAAATGTGTGTGAAACACAAAAGGCAACAGAATAATAAAGGAAAGCAGGTTCCACAGCACACACAAAAGATCCATCCAGACCACTATGAGCACACAGAGGCACATGAAGCAAAGAAAGGAAGAGCAGAGAGTAGACTGGGAACCACAGACACCTGAGGGATGAATGAGGCCAAAGGAGAGACGGCTGGGGCAGGCCAGAGAACCCTGCTGTGCTGAGCACTGTACTAAGTCCAGGAAGAAAGACATCCTAGTGGAGAATGTCTCAAAGAGGGAACCACACCAGCACTCTGAGCACTGCCCCATGGGGAGACAGTAGTATCCCTGCTCCTGTCACTAGAGATCAAATTGCACAGCTTTGAAAGTGGATTTCAGAATATCTACTACCTACGGACATGAATAAATAGAAAGGTATTCCTCAGACATGAACTAGAGCCTGACCTGCACTTGGCCATTAAGCAGCAGGCCTCAGCAACCCAGACCTCTGAACTGATGACAAATACCAAAGGAGAAAGGAGCTAAGCCCAGAAAGCATGTGATTTCCTTAGTATTTGTTTTATGCCCATTTCCTCCCCGAATGAAAAGCATTCAAGGTCCTTAACAAGTGTGCTAACCAAAGAAATAAGCAGGATATTTTAAAGGCAAAAGGGAAGAATTTGCTATTTGGGAAAACTGTTGGAGGTTTTCTAATTTTTTTTCCAGAATGTAATGCAATTTGGGGAGAGGGGGGTGTTTCTTTGCTTTTTAAGCTTTCATTTCCTCAGTTAATAACAAATAATGGTTATCAGATCTTCTGTGAGGATTAGAATACATAATGATTTTCATTAAAAATCAAAACAAGGGACTAGTGATACAGCTCAGTTGTTAGAGTGCCTGCCTGGCATGCATGAGACCCTGGTCGTAAAGTAAACAGCACACACTGTAATCCTAGCACTGGAGAGATGGAAGAATGAGTTCAAGATCATGTTCAGCTACATAGTAAGTTTAAGGCCAGTCTGGGCTACATGAAATCCTGTCTCCAAAAAAATTTTTTTAATTATTTTTTAATCAAATCTATGGTCAAAACTTCTCTAGTACTTCACAGAACATAGTCAACTGCCAGGCAAGGACTCATGACAAGGGTACAGGGTGGAAATGCCAGGGTCTGGTCTACACTAAGAAGCTCACAGACCAGAGCAACCGCTTGCATCTGACTTCCAGGTCAGGTAAAACCAGGGCAGAAGAAAAAAAGGGTCAGAAGAAAAAAAAAAAGAACAGATCAATGCTTCTGCTTCAATACTGAGCCCCAGCCAAGAGTAAGCTGATGTGGCTAACTGCCCCAAGAAACGGAGGTGTAGGAAGGGCAGGCGTGCTTTGTTTGTCGGCATCACCCCACCGAGGAGCTCTGAGAACAGCAGCAGGGCCAGGTCACTACTTGCCTTTAAGTTTGTGATTGTCGTTTTGCTTTTCTCCATTTGAATAATGAACTTGGCCTCCAAGTCCTTTTCCCTGCAACATAAATAATACAGTAAGGGTCAGGAGACAGAAGATTATTTTAAATTAAACCTGTTTTGTTTACTTTCACATAAGGGGCCTTGCTTTGAAATGACATCTGAGGAGCAGCACTGCTCCCAAATCTTCCCTAATGTTATAAACATGGAGATACACAGGAAAGATGCCACCATCAGAAACTAGGACTGACAATGTGCTGTCTAAGCCTAAAAGAATTTCTAGTTATGAGAAAGGTCAGGGACTGAAATAACAGATGCTGTGAAGAGTTGAGCCTCGTGGAAAAGGCAGCCCCAGCTGCCTGGACACAAACTAAGATAAAAGCTGGAGTATGCACAGCTACAGGCAGCTCCCAGGAATAGCCAGGGTACTGCCCCCTCCTCCTCTCTCCATCTTGTCATGTCCATTAGGAATAACACTTCTCACAAAGCACTGAACAGGTAGTTAAGAAAACTTGGAAGAGCATAGTTCTCTAGAGTAAGGACCATGAGTTAGGAGGCACAGACCTGTAACCCCAGCACTTGGGAGGCTGAGAGAGGAAGAACATAAGTTCAAGGCCAGTCTTAGCTACATATAGAGATATGTCTCAACTAAACAAAAGGACCACATAGCTAGACAAAAGAATGCAATGAGAGTCAAAAAGGAAAAAGAACAATCTCTATGTAATTTACAGCATCATCAGTACACATGGTTTAAGTAGAGTGCAAGGTCAGAAAAACACAGGTAGTCCTTACCTTTCCATGGTTTGACTTCAATTTTTGAACTACACTATGGAATAAAAGTGATGCACATTCAGTCCTAATCCTGACTTCAATGATGATCGTCTCCAAGGCTGGCCAATCCTCTCTAGTGATGCTAGGCTGCAGCAGCAAGCTGCGGATCCCAGTCAGTCAACTGGCCCTGAAATCCGAGGGAAACTACACATACTCTATGGTGTGTACTGCACAGTGTCATGTGATAATAAACTACACAATGCTAGGTAGGTTAGGTGCACTCCAGGCATTCTGGTTTATATTTTCAACTGATAAGACCTTTATGGGGACAAAACTCCAACCTAAGTCAAAAGAGAATACATTTAGAATGATGTTGCTTATATGTAGGATTCAAAAGGGTAACCTCAGCATTTTTCAAGAGGTTACTTACTGAGAAGGAAAAAAATGAAAGACAAGAGACAGTGATAAGGGATAGATTACTTTGAATAGAACTTGATCTATGAATCATCTTTAGAAAATTAAGTATGCAAAAAAAGTTTATTTTAAACAACCTAAAATTCTGCTGGGCGTGGTGGTACACGCCTTTAATCCCAGGAGGCAGAGGCAGGTGAATCTCTGTGAGTTCATGGCCAGCCTGGTCTACATAGTGAGTTCCAGGCCAGCTGGGGATACAGAGAGACTCGGAACTCGGGGCAATAATAATAATAATAATACTAATAATAAAATAATAATAATATAAATTCAATAGAACGTTGAAGTAATGTGTACCACACAGTGAAAGACCGTTTCCATAATAACATAAGGAGGGATGTAACTATACATTGTGGTAGAATGAATCTTCACAGACTAATAATCTACTTCAGTGGTTATTCTGTGGTTTATATACTGTGAGATGATACATGACTAGCTATGCTGGTATCACTGAGAGCCGCTGACAATTGACCAAACTGAATACAGTAAAACAGACTCAAAACTGAAGAGCTTAAGTAAAAACTACATAGTCCTGATTCTGAATGGGAAATAGTAGCATGAGCTTTATCTAAAGATAAAGGGGGGGGAGACAGAAAATAAAACCACAGGTTGATATCTCTAATCTAAATATCTAAAATCCAACATGCTCCAAAACACACAGCTTCCTAAGCACTGATAATGCCACAAGTGGCAGTTCTACACTTGACCTCACATGACAGGTCACAGTAAAAAGGCAGGCACGTGAAAATGTTGTACACAATCACCTTTAAGCTATGTGCTTATAAAACATAAGTGACTCTCATGATTAGCCTCTTGTCAGGACCACAAGATATTTCACTCTATATATGCAAGCATTCCAACATCTGAAACAATCTGAACTTTGAAGTCTTTCTGGTCCCAAGCATTTCAGATAAGGGATACTCAACCTGTATTCCCTAGTTTTCTCAACTGAAAAGATCTAGAATCTCATACTCAAAGCATAGTTTCTAAATACCATTCTGGGCATCTTAAAGAAATTATTCAATTCAAATACATAATCCTCCTCACTGGAGAAAGCAGGGACACTACAGATCCCTAAGGTTATAGAAGGCAAGCTCCAAAATGGCCCAAGATGCCCCCAATCTTGGAGTACACTGAACCTGGTGAGTCACTTTCAATGACTAGAACACAAATAGCCCAAGTGACATTCCCAGGGCTGATTACAAGACTGTAGCCTCTGTCCTGCTGGCTCTCCCCTCTTAGAGTACTGGCCATGGGGAAGACCAGTTACTGTGCTATGAGAAGCCCTACCAGAGACTCATATACCAGGGGTCATGTCAAGAGGCTTTAAGTGCCAACCTAAAATTCTCCCACTGGCCAAAGGGGAGAAATTTAAACAAAAGGGTAATAACTTCAACGAAACACAAAGAATATTCTTAATAAAGCACATCAACTCTTAATTCAAAAATAAAAATTAAGAGAGGTCCCCTTTGGAGGATCAAAGGAACTGTCTTATTACACTGAACATTAGTAGACAGATGGTAAATAAGGGAAAAGAATCAAATACTTAATCCCATCTGTCTTCATAATGGCTATGTGAGAGTAGGTACCTAAACAGAAGTTCCACCTTAGGTATCCCAGCTAAAATCTGTAGAAGAAATGACAGAATTAAAATATGATGGTGTTGTTACCCCTGGTGAGTTAGTGGCTCTAGACAGCGACGATCAGTGTCTGCTTGCCCAGCCTCTGCAAGATAGCCCAGGCTGGTATGTCCTGCCTAAAGGAAGTACAAACACCACTGTCTGGGAGTCTTGTTCCTCTCCAGATCTACACTGAGCCACCAGGAAACACAAGGGGAACAGGGAACAGATCAAACCTTCAGGGGAGGGAATCAGCAAAATCTAGCTTATTACAAAGTGCGAATAAATGACCCAGCTTACTTGTAACAATAACAAACTGCAAAGAGCAGAAAGAAGGAAAGACAGCCCATCCATCATAAACTACTTTAAACCACTGTCAACCACCCAGCCTCAATCCACACAGAAAGAGCATTTTTATAACTTATAATATATGGAGGCTAGGAGAGAGCTCCATTAGTAAAGTGCTTGCTGCTCAAGCACAAACACCTAAGTTCAGATCCCCAGCACCCATGTAAAAAGCCAGGTGAGGCAATGCATTGCTGTAATCTCAGCACTGGAGGAGGAAATAGCAGAACCCAAAGGGCTTGTTGGCAGCCAGTGCAGCCGAATGGGTGAGCTCCAGGTTCAGTGAGAGACCACGTACCACATAGAAAAAGGAGAGTGGCTGAGGAAGGCACCTGATATCAACTTCTACCCTTCACACAAACATGCACACATGCACGCACACACACAAACACCAATAAACACATAAATTATAACATATGCAGAGAAATATTAACACTAACTAGACATTTGGTGATATTAAAGAATTATAATTAATATCTTAGGTGTCAAGAGCAACATGATGACTTAAAAACTCACCCTTCTTGATATCCAGTATACACTGAAATAATTACAAGTGAAATGACTGGATAGTTGGGATTTACTTTAATCAGATGGTGAGGAACCATCTGGGGTAGCCTCCTAGTCACCTCAGGATAAGAGACAGAATTATTATCAGTCATCAACAATAAACCCCCAAGAGCATGAAGCAGTAAACACTATCCAAGGCCTATCAGGGATTTCCAAAGCCTGTTTAGCATTTCTATGCCAATCTGAAAAGGGCCTCCATTCCAGACCACTAGTTTTTAAAACACAAAAATAAGACTAGCCCCTAGGCCACTCCATGTTCATACGACCATAAAACAAATGGCTCATCAAATCACACCTTCCCTACAGCACTCAACCGCGAAGAGCACGCCTAGCCCAACCACACTAGATTTATCTGCACTGCAGACCCCATCTTGATGCTGCTCATTTCCACAGTGGCTCTTTTTCACTCAATAACCTTCTATGCTTGGAACTTGAATTTTAAAACAACTACTATCAATGAATACCCCTGGTAAACAAAACCATCTGGCTTCCTGGGACTAGTAGACATGAATGACTGTGGTTGGCCTCACACTACTTCAATCCTTGCTTTGGAAGGATAGCAGTATGGCTCACGCTATCCCCACTGAAAGCCCAGCATTCTAGGATTTCTGTCTCAGAACCTAGAAGCAGCTAAACTTACAGGGTGGGTCCTCTACATCATCACTTATTCAACTCACTAAGTATCTCAAAAGTACTTTTAGGGGCTGGAGAGATGGCTCAGCAGTTAAAAGCACTAGATACAGAAAACCAGGGTTCAATTCCCAGCACATGGCAGCTAACAACCATTTGTAACTCCAGTTCCAGGGGCTCTGACGCCCTCTTCTGACTTCGTAGACATCGCACAACACGCGTGCACTTACATGCATGCAGGCAACACACTCATACACATAAAATAAAAAAAAATAAATACTTTTCATTTTTAAATTAACACCTCCTCCACAAAAAGCACTAATAGATGCCGGATGAGAGGCTGTGATGTAATACAAGCATCTTTCTATCAGTCAGCCGTTTCTAAAATCACAACTGACCACAGAGAGAATGGGTGTAGTAAAGGCTCTGTGGCCTCCTTAAATTATCCTGGCTGGGTGGTGGTGGGAGGAGTACAGAGTACAGCAGGTCACTGCTCTGAGGGCTGTTCACAGTTTCTCAAAGAAGTCTTATCTCCCCAAAGACAGGAACCCCAGCTCAGACCCTGACTGTTCAAATGTGCCCCAGGAACTAACAGCACTAGCAGCCCTGGGGGAACTTGTTTGAAAGGAAGAATGTGAAGCCCTACCACAGGAGC